TTCTCAGAGAGGCAGTGGCTTGCTGTGGACTCCAGTGGCATTGGCAGCTTTTTGCTGCAGAAGAGGTGCCAGCCCCAATAGTACCCCAAATCAATAGCACTTTAAACCTGCAGGTATTTATGTAACTGGAGCTGAGCACAGCCACCCTGGCATCCAGTGGGGGAAGGCCCTGGGGCCAGATTCTGTCCCTTTTTCCTGGGTGGGTCCCCTTCAGGCCCCTGTGTTGCCTTTGTTACCAAGTGCCCTTGGATTGATACCAAAGCACCTGGACCTAATAAAGTCCTTTTAAATTTTCTGATCTCACAGCATTTGTGCAAACTGGAGGAGTTTATTTGTCTGGGCTCAGTCAGAAAGGTCCCACATGGTCCTGCTGCTGTCCTTCAGCAGTCTTCATCATCACGGATTCTGCTGCTGAGACTCCAGGCCTGTGTGCGTGTGTGGGGGGGTGAGATGCTTGCTCCTGCAGAAACTCCTGCTCTCAGCATTCCTTCAGCCATTTCCTGTAATAATCCATGCTCGGGCAGCCCATGCGCCCTGCCTTCATGCAGCTTGGGTCTCTGCCTGCTCTCTCGTGGCTGTACGACAGGAGGAGGTGGGGCAGGCTGGTTAATGGAGCCTTTGGTTTAACTTGCCCATCAAGTTGGATTCTCCTGGCATCCAGCCCTGGCTTGTCTCTAGCAGGAAATAGGACGTAGACAAAACCTGCTCCATGATGTGGCCGTTTAAGCTCCAGGTGATTGGGAGCAGGTGATGGCTGAAGGAAGAATAGAGGCACTGCTCAGAGAGGATATGGTTCCAGGTCCCCCAGTAGTGCTGGAGGGGCAGTAAGGGGGAAAGATATCCAGGCTACTACCTCGTTAAGGGCCTGGACTGATGAGCTTTGTTGAGTGGGGCAAAGCTCCCCTCCTAGCTAGCCCTGGTTGAGTTATGGGTACAGGGTGGATACATTTTCCTCCTGTATCCCTTACAATGGGGCTGTCTTGACCTGCCAGGGATCACTGGTATCCTGGGCTCTGCTGTGAGGAGGAGATGAGTTCCTGGGAGGCCAGGGCTAGACCATGATCCTGTGAGGGAGGCTGTGGAGATCCTGAGTTGGGGTAGAAGTGGAGAGGCTGGGGAGGGTAGGACTGGAGACCACCCCAGGGGGAGAATCTGTTGGGTGTGAGGGTTTATTCACTTGAGGGGGAAACTGAGGCAGGATTCTTACAGGCATTTCCCAGGCCACAAGGGGGAGCCCCAAGGCACTACCCATTCAACAGCACCAGGTCACCTTGACACCAGGGGCTGTTCCTAGCTCTCCGCCTATCTGGAAATGCCAGCCTTGTCCTGAAGTGCAACCTGATCTGATGTCCTGTAAGGGGAGCACTTCGCAGCTCCTGGATGATGCCCTGGGATCTTCATTTACATTTAAGCAGGTGTCAGCTGGCGCGTGCAGTCAGCTCCCCCACTCCTGCCTCCCTGGGGAGTGGCTCTGCTACAGGCTGTTTGGAGCAGAGCCCCTCACTTCTGCCATGCCCTTCTCCTCCCTGCTGTGTTGGCAGCGCCTGTTGAGCCCAGACTGGAAGTTAAGGCATGTGGTTCCCCTGCAGAAAGAGGACTTGCACAACAGCCTGTTGTCTGAGGGGAAGGAATTCAGAGACGGAGAGCGCTGGCTGTGGTCCGTGTTCAGCTCCCTGGGTACAGATTCACCCACGTGGCGGGGGAGAATGTCACATCTGTCTGTGGAAACAATGAATGGCCCAAGTGTCTTCAGCACTTAGGCCTGGATCCCCTTCCTGTTGGAGTCAATCATCACTTGACTTCATTGAGAGCCAAATCAGACTCTTAGCTTGCTCGGAGACAGCCTGATTCTGCCATCGGTATGACCCAGCAGCTGGTTTCAGCCTGTGACTCAAGGAAGCTGTTCTCAAAGCTTGCTGCCAAGCTCTGGGGCGGGAGGGCGGCTTCCCAGGAATGAAGTGGAGGGAAACTGGTCTGTACCTCCTGCTGTCCTTTGCATTCCTGTACCAGCTCAGACCAAGGCCCCATTGTACTGTGCACACAGGCCCTGCCTCCAGGGCATTACACTTTTGAGTAAGGCTTATTTGGGACGCAGAAATCTTGCATGGTGACCTTGAGCTTGGGCAGGAGACTACGGACTGGGAGTGGAGACATCACCCCAGCAGACGGGCGTGTGAAATCCAACCCTGAAAAGGCACTGGACTGGGAGTCAAATAGACAGGAGCCCTGGCCTCTGTTCTCTCTGCCTGTACCCTGCTGCCTGGGAGGAACTGTTTATTTGTATGAAAGTAGGGCTGAGAGGCTCTAATCACGGGTGTGAGACACCCCAGGCAGTTAGACGGTGGATATTCTGTGCAGTCACTGAGGAGGAAGATACAGGAAAGAGGATCCCTGACTGAGCTGCTGGCCCCGTTCTCTGGGAACACTAACCATTTAAATATAGTCCTCCTCTGCTGCTCTCACTTCAAACAATGGGTTTCCTGCTGCCTTCCCTTTCAGAGCCGCCATCAGACAGCATTGCTCATTAAGAAGGGGCTGGCCTTGGCTGAACGTGTCTGATGTCAGCCAAGGTGCACATGCTGTTGCTTCACTTGAGACATCAGCCCTGCCTAGCGGCAGGAGAGTTCAGTACATGGTCCTGGGAGCTGACAGGAGGTAGATGAGTTGAGCACCTGCCTGGGTGTGTCCTGTTCTCCTTGATGACCTGGAAGTGAGCGCAGTGCACGGGGTGGATTGTGAAATCGGTGAATGAGACATAAGCAAGATGCTGCCGGCAGCTACCGTTTTCTTCCCTGGCATCCTCCCCATCCCTCCACCCAGGGCTAATGAGTCTGTGTGGATCTTAGGTGCATTTATGAATGCATTGTACTAAGGCAGCCCGAAATGAAGCACAGCTAAAGCCTGTTCAACAATAATGCTACCAAACTTCTGGAACACGCAGGGTTGCGCTTGCCCGTATCTACTGCCGAGGTGCTGGCAGTGCAGTCAGTGCCAGGTGAGTGAGTGTCAGGAAGGCTGGGACCCTGCCTTGGATATGTATCCCTTGGTGGCACATTGGTCTGAAGGGGTGCTGGGCTCCTTACAGGCATTATGAAGCTGAGTCTCCTCTTTCCCCCTCAAGTTTATGACCATCCCTGTTATTTCACAGATGAGGAAATGCCATCCCATGGGGGCTAGTATTGCACTTTCAGCCACTGGCAAAGTAAGACAGGAGGCCTGAGTTGCAATCCCTTTCTTTACCCACCACACCAAGCTAGGAATAGATCCCGGGAGTCCTGATCTTCAGTCCCTCTTCTGAACGCCACGGCAGGCGCTCCGGGGAGGTGGTGTTTCTTAAGTGGCCAGTGCCCCCATCTGGCCCTTTGGTGACCTCAGCTCAAGGTCAAACCCTAGGTCTGCTTGCAGGGTGACCACAAACTGGTCTGAACTCTTGGGCCTCAGGGTCCCCACAGGTACAGATACAGACTCCCTGCATAGATCATTATGGGACTGATGGATAAATGGGTAGTTGCTGCAGGGAGCTGGCTTGCTGCTTTTTGCTTGCTTCCCCCTCCTCCCCCGACTTGCTAAGTCAATGAATGTGCTCTGCAGTTCCTGGAAAGTTGTCCTCGTGATCCTCTCGAGTTCCAGGCTCCCGACCCCCCTGCCTTGGCACGAGTTGTCATCCAAAGAGCAGGGTGCTTGGTGTGCCTGCATCTCTCCTCCCCAGCCCCTTTGCCCCATTGCAGGGGTGCAGCTGTGTTCAAGGGGAGGGGAGGGAAGCAGGGCTTTCCTGGCGAGACGGGTGCTGTTTGCCATCTTCAGCTTTGCTAATGCATCACCCACAGGAGAATGCGATCTGTGGGGGAGCTCGCAGCGCTGCCATGGCAACCACGCTCGCAGAGCAGGTAGCCAAGGGGAATAGCACAGGAACGCGTGACGTGGCCGCGACAGCAAGGGCCCGTCCTGCACGCAGCTGTCTCACCCCAGCCAGGCCGGCCTTGGGCCTGCAGGGCTGGGTAGGCCAAGAGCAGGTCAGGCGGGTGCTGCGCGTCCCGAACCTGCGGCGGGCACTCAGGCAGCGAGAGCCTGGAGCGAGGTGGCCCCCACACTCACTGCTATTTATAATCTCCCCAGATCAGGGGCGGCTGAGCAGGATTCGGCTCGCTGTGGTCCAGCAAGGGCTTGCCCTCGCCTCCTGGCTGTATAACACCCTCTGCTCAGGGAGGAGATGGCACCCCAGCGCGAGGGGCTGGGGCCGACTCACCAGGGCGGTGGGACCGAAACGTGGCAGCGCTGGGGGGGGCGACGGGACCTTCTCGTCGCCCCTGGGGACTTTGCAAAGAGCGATTAAAGAGGCTCGGCCTAGTCCGTTGAGATGGGAGATGCATGATCCGGGTTTACAAAATACTGAGGGGGGAAGAGAAAGTCAACAGGGCTTTAGTATCGCCTCCGGCACCGTGCAAGAAGGAGGGCTCGCCAAGCGCAACTCGCAGGCGGTCGGTGGCAAACTAACACGGGGAAGATGTCTCGGACAGTGGGTCGCTGAGGGTGGCGCTCGCGTGGCGGACGTGGGGGGTTCAGCCAGACTCGCGAGGGGGTCGGACGCGGTCCTGGAGCAAAGGGGCATCGGCCAGAGGATGCTGGAGGCTGCCCTGAGGGGGAACCCAGCTTCCTCTCTGCCAGGGTGCGAAAGCTCCGGGAGCCGCCTGCGGAGGGAGCCACGGGCCCGGGCAGGGTCCTCGGGACAAACAGGGGACGCGCGAGGTGCCGGCGGGCAGAGCCGCTGCCTCAGTTTCCCCGGGGCGGGCCGGCGGCGCTAGGACCGCTGGCGCACGGGGGAGGAGCGCGAGGC